TTTCCATCACCATTTTCTTTCATGTGGGCACAGAGAATTGTTTCCTTGTGAATGAATGGAAACAAGACAGGACAATTTGATCTCCACCACTTATATATATGTGGAATAGTTTAAAGAGAGTCATTGTGGAGGGTTTTACCTCAGTTTTCTCAATTACAAAGAAGGCTCTATCTTTTGTGTTGGACTGTGTTAACAAGGTAAATTGCTAGTGCTTCTGGCTCTTAACCCATCATTACAAGGTTGATATCATATCTTCAATCCCATAATTACCAGGTTGTTTCTCTCAACAAATGTTGTTATGTGTTGTCAAGTTGACTACAATTCACAGTGACACTCTCCCCTCATTCCCCAATAGGTGTTGACTGTGGATCCAAATAAAATGAAGTACGTTGACAATTTCAGTCTTTACACATCAGCCATGATGGTGCCTATTGGCCCATTAGTGAGGATTTTTGTTTTATTGATGTGGTGATGTAATCCATATTGATCGTCTGCAGTAAGTGCTTCAAAGTCTTCACTTTCTCCAAGTGAGGTTGTGTCAACCACATAATGGAGGTTGTTGATGAGTCTTTCTCTAATCCTGATGCCACATTCTTCTTCATTTATTCCAGTTTCTCAAATTATTTTCTCAGGCTACAGATTGAATGTTGTTGCTGTTTAGTGCTATCGAGTATAATTCAGAGAGACTCTATGAACAGCAGACGTGAAGCCTGTCCTATCCTGTGACATCTTCATCATCTCTGACACACTGGAGCCCATCGCCACAGTCATGGTGTCAATCATCTGGTTGAGGGTCTGCTTCTGTTTTGTTGACCCTCCACCATTTCCTAGCACGATGTCCATCTCCAAGGAATAACCTCTTCTAGTAACATGCCTGAAGTAAATAAAACTTTGTCATCTTTGCCTCCAAGGAGCATTCTGGCTGCACTTTCTCCAAGACATAGCTGTGTGTTCTTGTGAATGAATGGAACTGGTAGTGGAAAATTTTTATCTCCGCCACAGGTTTCTACATGGAATAGTTTAAAAAGACTCATTGTGCAGGTTTTTACCACAGATTGGACATTGTTTTTATTATGTACTATCAAGTTGCCTGTGTCTCACAGTGACAGCTGTGAACTCAGAGCTGTTAGCTCTGAACCCTGCCCTATCCTGAGCCTATATCAGAGTTTCCAACAGACCTAATCCCATTTCTCCAGTCACTGAATCAATCCATCTCATCTCATCCTAAGTCTTCCTCTCCTGTGCTGTCCACCCACCCTTCCAAGCATGATGTCCGTCTCCAAGGACTAATACCTCCTGGCCAAGTACCCAAAGTATGTGAGACAGAGCTTTACAATCCTTGCCTCCATGGAGCAGCTTGGCTTCATCCTCTCCAAAACAGACCTGTTTGTTCTTCTGGCAGTCTATGGTATGTTCAACACTCTTCTCCAGCACTACAATTCAAAGGCACTGATCCTTCTTCTATCATCCTCAGTTAATGTCCAGCTATCTGATGCATAACAGATAATTGCGAAGACTATAACCTGGATATATCCACCTTAATCTGCAGACTGACATTAGACTTTAGTACTCTGGAGAGGTCCTTAACAGAAGACTTTTCCAATGCAATTTGTATTTTGATTTCCTGACTGCTGGTGCCACAAGTGTTTATTGTGGAACCAAGCAACCTGAAGTTGTTAACAATCTCAATCTCTTCCCCATCTATCATGAAGCAGCTAGTTGGTTCAGTGGCAAGAATCTAGATATGGAAAAACAGACCCAATACTTTCTGCTGCCAACAGAAAACTTGAACTCAACTGCTGTCAAGTCAGAACCCACCCATCGTTGACCCTTCAGCAGGTTTTCAAGGCTACAAATCTCACAGGTGGAGACAGCTCATCTTCCTCCTGAGAGGTCACTGGTGGGGAGCTATGGCCATTAGATTAACAGTGCAGCTCCCTACAACGACCTCCAGGTCCCCCAACAGCGCAGAGTACTATCCTGACACTTCTCTTTCTGTGCTTTTACCTGCTAGTCCTAAAGACCAGCTTGTCTCCACACTCTCCAGAGTCCCAATGAGCGACCACCTTCGCAACTTCCAAGTGTGCAATTTTAGTCCACTATAAATTCCTGGACACCTGATGTGCCGGACGATGTGAGCACTACAAGGACATATTATTCACGGGCTCCCTGGTGATACAGCAGGTAACGTGCTCCGGTGCGAACCAGAAACATGTGGCTTGAGTCCACCATCAAGCACCTCCGAGTGAAGGCCTGGGACCTACTCCCCAAATTAGCAGCCACAACAGACCCCACAGAGCACGAGTTTACTCGATATAAACAGTCTGCCATGAGTGACAACTAATTCAACGACAACTGCTAACTGGTAATGTGGCTACCTTAGGGTGAAGCAGGAGCCCTCCAAAAATGTATGGAACACAGAGAATGGGACAGGTGTGCATTTTCACTACAAATATCAGTAAGGGAAAGGGGTTTTAAAGAATGAGCTGTTTCTTAAAAAAAAAAAGTGACGAGTGAAAATCTACAAAACAAATTGTTTTTCCATTCAACAATCCATACAGATTCCATTTTGTGGCAGGATTTTGCAATCCGTATACTGTAATTGCTGTTGTTGTATGCTGTCAAGTCAGAACTGACTCTTAGTTGACCCTCCAGAGGGTTTTCAGAGGCAGTTAATCACACGGGAGGTTGCTGCCCATCCTTCTCCCACGGAGCTGGTCCTAGTACTGCTCTGGTGGCCTAGTGGTAAGAAGTTGCACTGTCAATTCTGAAGCACATAGTTCAAATCCATCAGCTCCTCAGCAGGAGAGAGATGGGCTATCTCTTCCTGTGCATTTTAAAGCTTCTGAAAACTCCCTAGGGGGTCAGTTATGTTAGGTTCTGACTCAATGGGACACAACAACCACCATAAAGAGAGCTGGGAAGCTTCAGGATACGGGAGTGAAGTGGGACCTACTTGGTCTTCCCACATTACAAACCCTAACGTGGTTATCCACATTTATGGTCCCCTGTCATTCTTCAGCTCTAGTGTTAGAGAAAGGAATGCCACCTGCCACCTCCCACTGAGTGTATGTCAACTAGGGATTGAAATATTTCAGTTGTATCAGCTATCTTGCTTTGATCCTATTTCATAACTACACCACGGCTTCTTAAAAGGCCTTCACTAATGGAAAATCCAAAATGACTTAGCCTCCCATAGAAGGGTGGCACAGCTCTGTCTGGGGAGATGGTTGAAACAGAAGAGCAGCTCGTGTCCTACATCCAGATGGATCATCAAATGGTCACAGTGCCCCATAACTACATCCCCTGGACTTTTATCCAAAGAACAATATTTAATAGAGTGAATACTGTAGAGAACAAGGGTATTCCCAAAGAACAGTCTAGGTTTATTCTCACTCACTCTCATTGTCATCAAGTCACAGCTGACCCTCCCGCAGGTTTTCAGAGGCTGTAAATCACATGGGAGGAGATTACTTATCTTCCTCTCTTAGAGCCACTAGTGGATTCAAACTGCCCACCTTATGGTTGGCAGCACAACTCCCTACCATGAGAGTTCCCCTACACATGTACTAGTAAGCATGTATATAATTTTACAGTTTGAGCATGAGATAAAGAAGCTCTGCATGGCAACATGTCATTCTTTCCTTGAACTCTTAAGACCGGCACTTTATTAAATAATTCTTTTTCAAAAAACTGGTGGTAAAAGACGAAGAACCTGGCAAATGAAGTCGGAGAAGAGATTGAGGTTTGCGATGATGTATTTGTGTTTGGATCGACAATCAACACTCATGGTAGCAGAAGTTAAGAAATCAAATGGCATGTTGCATTGAGAAAATCTGCTGTCAAAGACCTCTCCAAAGAGCTAAGGAGCAGCAATGTCACTTTAAAGACCAAGATGTACCAGATTGAAGCCATGGACTTTTCAGTGGCTTCCTACGCATCTGGAAGTTGGACCATTAATAAGGAAGGCTGAAAAAGAATTGAGGCCCTTGAACTGTGCTGTATGTGAGGAATTGAACACCCAAAAGAACAAACAAGTCTGTCTTGGAGAAAGGGTGTTACTTAGAGGAAAAAATGTTGAAACTTTGTCTCCCATACTTTGGTATGTTATCAATCCTTTGAAAAAGTCAGCGTGCTGGGAAAGCTGGAGGGTAAGAGAGAGAGGATGACCCTCAACGAGCTGGGTTGACACAGTGACTGTGACAGTGGGCTGGACCATGTCAGAGATGGTGACAAGGCGCAGGGTGGGGCCGGGTTCAGATCTGTTCTTCATAGGGTAGCTATGAGTTTACATGAACTCAACAGCATATAACATCAAAACAACAACTGAATTGTCTAAATTTCGTTTTAAAGGATTACAAAATTCAACTAGAGATTTTAAAACAACAGGACAGTTTTCAAAGACATGCTTTCATACAATTAGAAGCTTACCATCCTAGACTACTGATCAAACCATTGGAATAGAACATTCCAGGACCCTGTTTGGTGTCATCTAGCCAACTGGAACTCATAATGACCCTACAAACAACAGACCTGAACCTTGTCCTTTCCCATACCATCCTCACCATCTCTGATACGCTGAGGTCCATGTACTGTCACTGGGCCGATCCATCTGATTATGGGTCTTCCTCTCTTTCTCTGGCACGATGTCTTTTTCCAAGGACTGGTCCCTCTGAACAACATGGCCAGAGTATATGAGACCAAGTTTAACCATCCTTATCTCTCAGGAGCACCCTGGCTGCACTTCCTTCCTGTAAGATAGATCTATTTGCTCTAATAAATAAATCTAACCCATGCACTCTTCAGCATTCTTTTCCAACACCACAACTCCAAGGCATCAATTCTTCATTGGCTTCCTTATTTACTGTTTAACTTTCAGATGCATAGCAAGCAAGTGAAAATACCTGGTCTTGAATCAAACTCAAAAAATTCAAACTCCTTGCCATTGGGTCTCTTAGCAATGTCGCAGCTCCCAAACCTAGCAGTAAAGCGCCACTTACCGAGTATTAGAAAAACAGTCATAATTTGACAACTGCTGTTGCAAAGGTCCTTCTTTTGGATTTCCAGATTTTAAGTAACAGGATCTAATTTCCCCTGTAAAATAGAAATATTTTAGCAAAATATAATAAACAATTATTTGTACATAGTCACTTCAGTTTATGATATTTTCCAGGGAGCAGAAACTCATTTTGGACTGTTTTAAATACAAAACCTTGGGGGTTTTGTATGTACATCAGGTGGCTAACCAAATGGTAGGCAGTTCAAAACCACCAACAGCTCCACAGAGAAAGATGGACAGTCTCCTTTTAAAGATTTATTGTTGCTGTTGATTGCTATCGAGTCAGGCATGACTCATTGCAATCCTATGAACAAAAGACCTGAAGCCTTTCTAACTATCATCATTTCTCCAAGTTCATAGAGTTTCCAGAGGCATGTTGTTTAGGAAGTGGATCCACTCCTGCTTTTAAAGACTTACAGCCTCAGAAACCTCACAGTGGTTGCTATGAGACAGAACCGACTAAACAGGAACAAGATCGATGACTGTAGCTGACAATGTGGATCTAGCTCTCCCTTCTATCTCTTTACAAAATGTGTATCAAGAGAAGACAGAGAACATCTGAAAGAAACTTCACTAAGAAAAATGTTCTTGCTCACTAATTGTCTTCATAGAAAAGTGGGTAAGGAGTTATGCTGCCAACCCAAAGACGTTCAAATCCATTAGCTTTCTCCATTGGGACAAAGATGAACAATCTCTTCCCATGTGATTTACAGCTTCTGAAAACCTGCTGGAGGGTCAGCTGAGTTAGTTCCAATATGATGGCAATGGGGTTGAAGTTGAGGCTGAAAGGATTCAGAAATTTGAGGTGAGCAAAATAGATGCTCGTCTACACACCTCTCCCTGAAAGAGTTCTCAGGGAACTCTTCTTCAGCTAAGAGCCTGAAGACTACCAAAAGCACAATTAGCCAGGAATGGAAGAGACTTAAACAAAGACTGAAGTCCTTGGTCTCAACTCAAAGACACATGTCATCAAAAGAAACACTGCAAATCATAACTACAGAAGAAATGACACAGAAGGACTTTGCTCAGAGTTCCACTAGTCTTTCTAGCATAAACATCGCTTAATTTTTTTTTTGTAATGGTGATTTGACCTAAACTTTACAAAGCAAATTAGCTTTCTAATTAATTGTTGTTGTGTACCATAGAGTCGAAACCAATCCTTAGCTGACCCTTTGGTGGGTTTTCAGAGGAAGTTAATTGCACGGGAGGAGATTGCCCATACTTAAATATTAATCACAATGCACCATCACTCTTCCCACTTCCTCTCTGTGTTCTCATTTCCATTAATCCTTCTATCCCACCCCATCTTGTCTTGTGAGGGTTATCCTTGAGAAATGCCACTCTTTTGAACGTATTGGCTCTGCTTCTGAAGGAATGCGTGCCTCTCCAGTGTTATTGTTCACCTTATGGGCCTCACTATTGGCTGAGAGTTGAGTCACAGAATGACTTTTGCTCCAGGTTCAAATGGTAACTAAGGTTCACACCTCGGAAGTTCTACCTGTCTTTGAGCTTTGTGTCCATTTACCACTGACTTATTTCATTCAGCACAATGTCCTCCAGATTGAGCAATGTTATCTTGTGGCTTCCTCATTTTCCTTTAACGGTGCATAGTATTTCACTATGTGGATGTATCGTAGTTTGTTTAGCCATTCATCCCCTGGTGGGCATTTGGGATGTTTCATCTCCTTGCCACTGAAAATAATGTTGCAATAAACATTGCTGTTGTGGTTTTGTATGCCATCAAGTCATAAAAGACCCATAGCTGATCCTCCAGCAGGTTTTCAGAGGCAATAAATCACACGGGAGGAGACTGCCCACTTTTTTCCCAAGGAGAGGCTGGTGGATTTGAACTGCATGCCTTTATGTTAACAGCACAGTTCTTTATCACAGGCTACCAGAGCTCCCTACAATGAGCATAGATATACAAACATCTATTGCAGCTCTTATTTCTAGAAGTCTTTTTCATAAGAACCATTCTCTTAATACTTCTATGTCTCCTGATTTGCTGACTGCTGGTACCAATTATGTGGGTTCCAAGTAAGATGAAGTTGTTAACAGTTTCAATATTTTCTCCATCTGTCATGATGCCGCTTATAGATCCAGTGGTAAGAAACTTTGTTTTCTTGATATTGAGATACCACCCATATTGAGGGCTGTATTCTTTGATCTTCTGCAACAAGTGCTTCAAGTCCTCCTCAGTTTCAGCAAGCAAGGTTGTGTGTCATCTGCATAGCGCAGGTTATTGATGAACCTCCCTCTGATCCTGATGCCACATTGCTCCTCACAGAGTTTGGCTTCTCAAATAACTTGCAGTTAGGAATCTCTCCAAATTATTGAGGAGTAATGATGCCAGTCTGAGGACTAAATTACCTCTAACTGAAGTCATGGTCTCTCTGATCACTAGCTATGCAACTGAGAGCTGGACAAAGAATAGGGATGACAGAAGAAAAAAATGCTTTTAAGCTGTGGTGTTGGAAAAGAGCACTGAACTCATGGACTGCCAAAAGAACAAATAAACACATCTTGGGGAGGTTGCAGCCAGACTGCTCTTTGGTGGCAAAAATGATTGGCTTCACCTCACCTACTTCAGGCATGTTGCTCTGGACAGGTGCATGATGCTTAGAAAGGTGAAGGGTTGGAAGGAGATAAAGACCCTTGACCAGATGGATTGACACACTGACTACCGCAATGGGCTCCAATGTGTCAGGAAGTGTGAAGATGGCACAGGGTAGGACAGGGTTCCTGATCTGTTGCTCATAGGATCACTACGGGTCATACTCAACTTGACAGCACCTAACTAACAGAATTCCCACAGACTGAAAAGCACTTAAAACTATAAACTATTGTTTTGTTGCCACCAGAGCTCCAAAACTATAAACTACTGATCTCTAAATGCCAAACCAAGATCCTTCCCTGGCTGTCAAGTCGATTTTGACTCACAATGACCCTACACAGGACAGAACACAGCTGCCCAGTGGCTTTCTGGACCTGTCAATTTTTACATAAGCAGACTGCCACGTGATTCTACAGCAGAGCAACTGATGGGTTCAAAATGCCAACCTCTCAGTTATCAACACACCATCTAAACGCTGTTAGAATCTTTCAGGTTAGAACCACCCATGGGGTTTCCAATACTGTACACTTTAATTTCATAACAAGGCAGTGAACTATATCAAGGTCAGATTTTCAGCCTATAAAACCCAAACTCATAGCCATTAGGTCAAGTTCAACTCATGGTGACCCTCCACTAAGTATCTGGGCTATAAAGCTCAACAAATAACCAACAGGTATTCAGTGGGTGCTTTCTAAGGGACAAATTATTCCAAGTAAATCAATAATCACGTTGTTGTTTTGTACCATTGAGTCAACCCATAAGCCAAAGGAGAAGAAATAGTAAAGAACAGAGGAACTTGATCAAGTTCAGAAAGTCTAGGAAAGGTTTTCCTTCAGAATAGATAGAAATGGGGATTTGGCATGTGCAAAGGAGCAAGAAGGAGCACAGCATATTCTAAGAACAACCATAGGGCCAAGGCTCCCCATTCCAAAGTGGGGTGGTCCAGCCCTGAGGAAGCCCACCAGGAAAGCATTCCGGACTCACCATGCTCATCAATGAAGACATGCATTGCGTCCAGAGAAATCTCCTCCTGCACAGATGTTTCGGGCCCACTGAGGACTTGCAGGACAGAACTGTCTTGTTGGGATGTCACTCTGTAGATTATTTGTCTCTGCCTATTACCCTGGAAACTTAACATACACAAAAGTTTCAAAACCTACCAAGATCTCCTCCTCACCCTTACTACAGCCTTAAGAGAGACAGGCAACAAAGGAGGCTCTCAGACACTATGCACCCAGGGGCTAAGCTTAGAGAACTGCGCTTACATGGTCTTAATCTTGGCCGGCTCAGTGAAGACAGGGCTGGTGTTTGTGTGGTCTTGACTTTGCATTTCCAACTTCCCTTGTCTAGAGTAGCGTCCACTCGACGTCTCACTTTGCAGGACTTCTTCCATTTTCTCCTGGGAACAGTTATCTGAAAAACATAGCTTTTAATGTGTTAATATAATATTTAATAAGAAAGCACATGTGAAAGCACTTGAGGTAGAAAATTACCAAATTGGAAAAAAGTACAGAAAGAAATTATAAAGAAAACAGTAAAATCTGTTCTGGCCACCTCTAAGTCTGTAGGACAGAGCAGAACAGCCTCATTGGGTTTCCAATGCTGCAAATTTTTCTCTTATGCAAACCACCCACCTTCCCTTCCATGCAGCGAATGGTAGATTTGCCCAGCCAGTGTGTCTGAGCAGTTAAGCATGTGGCACAAGCGCCTACAAATTCAGAACGCTCTCCGGTGAATTTTCATTGTATGCATCATGATGGTTATGGTGGCTGAGGGCCCTCTTCCAACTCATAGCCGCCCTCAGTGAAGAGCAGGCTTGCCCCCTACACTTCCTGGACTTTGCAGAATATATCACTTTTCTCCTTCAGAGTCACTGGTAGGTTTGAACCATTAAGTCTTTGGTTAGTAGCTGAGCTCTTAACCAGTTTGCCATTGTTGTTAGGTGCCTCAAGCTGTGTATGACTCATAGTGACCTATGCAGAAGACCTGAACCCTTCCCTGTCCTGTACCATCCTCATCTCTGACACACTGGAGCCCGCTGCTGCAGTCACTGTGTCAATCCATCTTGTTGATGGTCTTCCTCTCTCTCTGACCCTCCACCTTTCCAAGCCTAATGTCCCTTTCCAAGGAAGAGCCAGCCTCTCCTAGCAACATGTCCAAAGTATGAGAGACGAAGCTTTGTCATCTTTGCCTCTTAGGGACACTCTGGATACACATTTTCTGTTAGGTATGTTTTTTCTTCACTGAGGCTTATTAATGATGACAATAATTAATCGAATTTGAAAATGAGAAGTACTCCTATGTGAGACTTATCTTTGTCTACTGCTTTGAAACATTTACACACACCAAGCTGCTTTCTTGAAGTAACACCAGTGACCCTGGCTTTCCCTTATCAGAAATCTCCCATTTCAATTTCTCAAGGCTAAAAGGTCCATAATTCATAGAGTTAACTTCAGAGAGAACAAAATTTACCGGGACAAACTCAGTGTTCCCTCTTCTTCTCTGTGAGCTGTAAAAGGTAGGCCCACTTATCACTTTACAATCTTAGCAACCTTTCCTTGTCACTCGTTCTTCAAATCTATCTTTTCACGCGAAAAGTCAAACGGCATCTTCATAAAGCAAGTCTCTGCTAAGTGTTGCCGATTCTGCACTATACACTCAGCACTGGGGAGGACACAGAGAGATTGGACTTTCTCTCCTCACTGAGTGTGTTTAATGGCAAATATGAATTCCAAACTCAAGAGATACAGAATGGTTGAGTTTGAAGTAGGGGAATTCTGGAGGTGTGGTGAGCTGTTTTGCTTTGATGGCTGGTTTTTTATTGTTGTGATGTGTGGTCCAACAGTCTTCTTCAACAATGGACCAAAAGGAAGCTCTTAGCTTACAATGTTGTTGTTGTTGTTGTTGTTGTTGTTATGTGCAGTCGAGTCGCTTGCAACTCATAGCAAGTCAATGGACCAAAAGAAAGCTCTTAGCTTACAATATTAGGCAAAATTGAAGATGCCTTCGAGGCTCAGTCCTTCCTGTATCTAACAGCCCATTAGCCACTATTAAGACCAAAATGACCACTGTATTTCCATGACCAAGGTATCAGCAGTATCTTCGATGGAACCACATTGGAGCCACCAAGAAGCACCTAACAGCAACACTGACAAGCCTAAGAGCAGCCTGAGAGGAAACCCTCCAGGGACTGGACTTCTTGGACACAGCGCTTCCACACCTCTGCAAGACCTGCCTCAGAGAGTAAATTCCCCAGCTCCCAAGAGCTCTGACTCAAGTTCTTATGTATGGGACAAGGATTTTCATTCCCAGACTTAAATAATTAGACAAACATTGCTGTCACAGCTATGTGGATCCTGTAGACACATATTCCCAGCACATCTGTGAAACCACTGTTCAAACTTGTTTGGTACAAAAATATTTGCATTTCATTTGTCAGTTTGTCAAGACAGAATATTTCACAGTTTTTAAGGGATATAAATAAGAAAAATCACTGTCATAACAAACAGCATTAGTCAATGAGGATGGCAACTAAAAATCACCGGGAAAAAATCTGTTGTCATTGTTGTGTGCTTTTGAGACAAAAGCAACTTATAGCTGACCCTCCAGTGGGTTTTCAGCAGCTATAAATTTCACAGAAGGAGACTGCCCATCTTTCTCATGCAGAGCAGCTGGTGGATTTGAACTACCTGCCTTTTGGCTGGCAGAGCAACTTCTTGTCCACCAGGCTACCAATCTATCCATTCAATGCATGCGACTGGATTTATGGTTCACATCTCCTTATGGCTTAGTCTCCCCATCCCTTCATTGGGTACATCTGATTCAGAAGTAAGAGGGCATTTATTCCCCTTTCCTTTTAAAATGTATGGATTTTTTTTGCTTCATAAAATAATGCAGATTCATTGTATATCATTTATAAGTATCAGCAAGGAAAAAAACCCTTTAAATTACTTTTATCCCTGTCATCCTTCATATACATACTGGTGATAATTTGATCTGTTCTTTTGTTGTTGTACAAAAATTAGATAATAATGCACATGTTGTTTTAAACCTTAAAGCATAAAAAATATTTTCTATTATTAACTATTATTCTCCATCTTGTAATCATGGTGGTAAAATGTTATTTTAAATCATATAATATTGTGGGATAATTTATGTAACAGGAAACGTAGATCCACTTCACAGATATTTGCTTTATAATAAGTTTCACTGAAGGCATCTACTTTATGAAGAAAGATCCACTTATAGAGAGTTCTTATGGCTGTAATAAAATATTACAGCTCATTTCCCAGGTAACAATATCCTTACCTTAAAAGGAAGAAAAAAGTGGTCACAATCCCTTCAATTTCCCAGCAGAAAACAAAACCAAACTGAACCCACTACCATGGAGGTGCCTGTGACTCATGGGGACCCTGTATTATAGGAGAGAAATGCCTATGTCCTGGGGACACAGTGCTTTAGAGAAGTGCATGGGACCTGGGGGGGAAAGTGCCTGTGATCTGGAGAGCCCATGTGTTAGAGGAGAGTAGTGCATGTGACCTGGGGACCCCGTGTGATAGAGGGGAGAAGTACCTGTGACCTAGGGATCCTGTGATAGAGGGGGGAAGTGCATGTGACCTGGGGACCCTGTGTATTAGAGGGTGGAAGTGCCTGTGATGAGGGCACCCAGTGATAGAGGGAAGGAGTGCCTGTGATCTGGGGACCCTGTGTTAGAGGAGGGATGTGACTGTTACCTGGGGACCCTGTGTTAGAAGGGAGACGTGCTTGTTACCTGGGGACCCTGTGTTAGAAGGGAGACATGCTTGTGACATGGGGACCCTGTGATAGAGGGGAAGAAGTGTGTGTGACCTGGGTAGCCCACTTGTTAGAGGGGAGAACAGCTCCAGGGATTTCCTTGGCTAAGTGTTTAGAGAACTAGACCATTGGGCCTTTCTTCTGTCATGCCTCTGGGTAGGTTTGCTCACTTAGGGCCTTTATCTGGCTGTTGGTTTGTGTTGTTGAGTTAGAACCATAGCTAAACCTCCAGAGGCTGGAAATCACACAGGAGGAGACTACCCATCGTTCTCCTGTGGAGCAGATGGTAGATTCGAACCTTCTACCTTTGGGTTGGAAGTGCAATTCCTTACCCACCAGGCCACCAGAGCTCCCAGGTAGTTTTCCAATTATAATCCATACTTATCCCAGGGTTAAGTATTGGCATATCCACCAAATACCCATTACAAAGCCAACCAGTAAGAGTCACCCTGCTACTTGCAAAACCAACCCATGGAAGGTGAGTGACAGGAGACCGGGGACCATCCCCCTGTCCTTGGCCCTCTGACAGCCAACCCTACCTGCAGGAAGCTTGCTATCTTTCCCCTGCTCTGCAGTGGCACCACTTGCCCGGGCACCTGCCACCACCTTGGAGGTGTTAATAGATTCCAAAAGGGAGACAAATTCCAGGAAGTTGGACTCATTGGGCATTTGCCCTTCCTTGGCCTCCAAGTCAGATTTGGAAGTTGGCATCATCTTCTCCCTGTCACTCGGGACTTCTGCGGAGCTCTTACTGAGGAAGACATCGGTCCCACTGTCCACGCTGAGGACCCGCGCGTGTCTCTTCTCGTGGCCGCTTCTACACGACGAGGGGTCAAGGCCAGCCTGGCCTTCTTTGCCCGCTCCAATAGCAGAGGCCACGCTGGGGGTGGACAGGGGCGAGGGCTCGCAGGGGTTCCTCGGGGACAGGCTGCAGTCTTTGATGGCATTGCCCCCCTCCCCAGACTCATAGCCAGAGCACTGGTTGGAGGATGCCCCCACCATCAGCCTCTCCTTCCCACTGTCTCCAGGACAGACGGTGTCTCCACAGCCATCGTCAGTCAGCTCCAGGGTGATGACGGGGATCTGCATCTGCTCGCTGCTCGGGGAGCTGGTCGCCCCGGGGGTGGCCGTCTCCTCATCTGACTGGGGAGCAGCCCTCTCTGTGCTCATCACCTTCAAGTGGAGCGAGCCCTCCTGGTCGGTCATGGAGTTTCGGGTGCTGCTCATTGTAATGACAATCTTGATGGGCTCGTGCAGACTCAGTGGGTCCCCAGGCTGGGAGGTGTCCACCAGGGTGACGGCAACCTCACCGTCTGAGGAGGTGACCTCCTCGTCCAGGGGCGCCTCGACCTGGCAGGAGGTGTCCCCAGGCTCCTCTGCCTGTCTGATGACCACGGTGGTGCACTGAGGGCAGCTGCTGCTCAGGCTGTGCTGAGGGGAGCCCCTGTGCACCCGCCCCTCGAGGGAGCCCGTGGACTGCTGGCCCCCTTCCAGAACCAGGACAGAGTCCTCACTCCCCCAGGGCTGGAACGAGACGTCTGTCTCCAGCAAGTCATGCTGGGACAAAGATAAGTGTGGCGGTCTCTTCAAAGGGCCCTTGTCCTCCAGCCCGCCCTCGGATCGGTGGCGCGAAGGGGGCCGTCCCCGGCCTCGCTCCTTCCCCTTATTACTGAGCAGCGTTTCTGAAGTCACTTGCTTCATGATTATGGCTGAGGTGGCCATGGCTTCTGGCACGGACACTTTAGAGACGGGAGGGTGCTCCATCTTCATGCACGGTGAGGTACACGACGGGGGAGCTCCGTGTTGGTCTTCGGACAGAACGACGCCTGAAAAGAAGCAACACAACAAAACCTGATGAGCTTCTGAAATCCCCGGTCATGAATCCCCAGAGCAAGACCTAATGATAGCAGAACTTAAAACAGCACCAACAACAAATGACCCACAAAAGCTTGTCTTGAGATTATCATCTCCACTGTGAAACTGCTCCCCACACAGCAATATTTAAAGCTCCATTACTTCCCATAATTCAGATTTTTAGTGTTTGCTGTTTTGTGACCTTGAGAGACAGAATGAAAATAAGGATTCAGCAACACAGTAGGGTCACTCAGAGAGAGAAGGTTTGGTGGCATGTTGGTTAAAGTGCTAAGCAGCTAACAAGAAGGTGAGCCTTTGACCCCACCAGCTGCTCCTCAGAAGAAAGGATGTGGGAGTCTGTTTTGTAAAGAACACCGGGAAACCCTGTTCTATGAGTAAGAATCCACTTAACAGCTTTGGGCTTGGCTAGAGATCTGTGGTGGCCTAGTGGGTAAGGAGCTGCACTGCCAACCCAAAAACAGGAGGTCAAATTCACCAACTGTTCCACAGAGCAAAGCCTCTGAAAACCCACTGGAGGGTCATGAGTTATTTGTTGTATTGAAGATCAGGAACATTGTGTCTCTGTTACCTATGTTGCCTGGGTTTCCCCATCTCATCACTGTCAACATTCTGGTCAGGGCTGTTCTACAGTACATACCTTACTAGGCAGTGCTCAGCATTTCCACTCGAATCACAACAATATCTGCCACACAACCCTTTGGGGTGCGGGAGAAATTAATAGTTTAAAATCACCCTTTAAATCTAAGCCTCTTCTTGTATAAAGTACAGGTAACTACACAACTCTTCCAACGTTGCCCTAGGATCCCATAACCATGTAGGGGTGAAGCATCAGCACAGGGGCTGGTGCAGGCATGCTCCTGTCTTCACCCTGTGACAATGGTAATCACATGCCTCTGGTATAACATTTGTTTCCTAAATAGTCTAAAGTGCATCTGCAAACAATAGTTATTGACAAAGGTGGTGCACCGTGACCTGACCCTTCTCCCAAGAATTGAAATGGAGCTGCAGGAAACAGTGTGTGAATGAGGTGAAGATGAACTGACCAGATGAACTGACTGTATAATTTTGTCCATGACAAAAAGAGGTAAGTGTTCACCTTCTCTGTACAGAAGGAGTTGTATATGTTCAGTGCAAGAGGGAAGCATTAAGTGAAGAGGATGAATTGGTTTACAAAAAACTCTTCCTTCCTGTTATAGGGAGCTCTGATGGTATTGTCTGCAGGGAGTTGTTCCCTGACTCAACACCATGTGTTGCTGGCCATTAGGATCTGCTGGGAGTTCTGTAGGAGAAAGATGGGCAGTCTCCTCCCATGTGACTTACAGCCTCATAAAGTTGCCAGAGAGGTCTGTTCCAATCCTATGACAATGAGAGTTGAGTTATTAATAATAAGCCAAATTGGAAGCAGCCATGATGACCTCAGACAGGTAAAAGGATAAACATACAATGCTAAATCTAGACAGTAGAATCTTATTTGGTAGTAAAAACAAATGACCCATAAAGACAGGAAAAATATAGGGAAGAACATGAAATGCAAACTGTTAAGTGTCAGAAGCCACTCAGATGAAAACAAAGCACACGCAGTAGAAGACAAAATAGATAAATGGGACCTCATAAAAATTACATATTTTATTCACAAAGTACTTAACCAAAGAAGTAGAGACAGCATATATATTGTTATTGTTGTTAGGTGCCATCCACCCAACCACAGCTCTCATCAAACCTCGTATGAACTATGCAAAGGCATTTGACTGTGTGGATCATAACAAGTTGTGGCTGACATTGTGGAAAATGAGAATCCCAGAGCACTTGATTGTGCTAAGGTGGAACCTATTTGGACCAGGAGGCTGTTGTGTAAACAGAGCAGGAGACCACTGCAAGGTTTAAAACTATCCAAGAAGCTGGACTCTATGAAAAGGAATGTGGCATCAGGATTGGAGGAAGATTCATCAATAATCTGCACTATGCAGATGGCACAACCTTGCTTGCTAAAAATAAGGAAGACTTGAAGCACCTGTTACAGAAGAAAGATCAAGGAATGCAGCCTTCAGAATGGATTGCATCTCAATGTCAAGAAAACAAAGATTCTTATCACTGGACTGACAGGCAATATCATGGTGGATGGAGAAGAGATTGAAAATATCAACATCTTCATCTTGATTGAACAATTAACACCCTTGGTACCAGCAGTCAGGAAATAAGGAGGCACATTGCACTGGGAAAATTTGCAGTTAGGGACCTCTACAAATTACTGAAGAGTAATGATGTCAATAGTTAACAGAGTTACTTTGCTTGGATCTACAATCAACAATCTTTGTACCAGCAGCCAGGAAATCCAGAAACAAATTGCATTGGGAAAGTCTGCTATCAGAGACCTCTCCAGAGTACTGAAGAGCAACGACATCAGTCTGGAGACTAAGGTGTGCCTGATCCTGGCCATAGTCTTTGCAATTGCTTTCTATGTGTTAGACAGCTGGAAAATGACTAGGGAATGATAGAAAGATAATTAATTCCTTTGAGCTGTGGTGGTGGAGAAGAATTCTGAATATACCATGCCCTGCCAGGAGAATAAACAAGTTCGTCCTAGAGAGGATGAAACCAACCTACTCCTTGGAGGCAAGGATTCTGAGGTTTCATTGGACGTATTTTGGGCACGTTGCAAGGAGGGACCAGTCCTTCGAGAGGAACATCATGTTTGGAAGGGTAAAGGGATGGAGAAAGGGAGACTATCGATGAGATGGATTGATACAACGACTGAGGTAATGAAGGTAGCTGTGTCAGAGACAAAGTTGGCATAGGATAGAGCAGGTTTCAGGGCTGTTGTACATAGGGTCAGTATGAGTCACAAGTGACTTGATGACACATAACAACAACACCACAATGATGTCAACATGATGGAGGACTAAAGTGTCTGATCCAGTCCATGGTTGTTCTGATCACTTGCTTTGCATCTGAGAGCTGGACAATGACTAGGGATGACAGAAGAAGAATTAACGCCTTTGAGCTATGGTGTTGGAGAAGAGCATTGAACATCCCATGGATGGCCAAAAGAACAGATATGTCTTGGTAAGTGTGCAGCCGGAAGGCTCTTTGGAGGCAAGAATGATGAGGCTTTGCCTCACGTACTTTAGTCATGTTGCTGGAAGGGGTGATTCCTTGGAGAAGGACATGATGCTAAGAAGTATATAGAATTGGCAAAGGAGAGGGAAACCCTCAACCAGGTGGATTGACACAGTGACTGCCACAATGGGCTCTTGTGTGTCAGGAAGAGTGAGGATGGCACAGGATAGAACAGGGTTCAGATCTCTTTTTCATAAGGTTGTTATGCATTGTACTCAATTCAGTGGCACCTAACACCAAAAACAACAATGAAGAGTAGATATTAACATTGCCATCCTCATGATTTCTGCCATGCTCAAGTTCACTGTATCCATATATTGAAGGGTCTCCCTCTCTTTTCTTTTTCCAAGAACCGGTCCTTCCTGACAACATGCTCAAACTATGTCAGATGAAGTTTCATCATCCTTGCCTCTAAGGAGCACCTTGGTTGCACTTTCACCAAGACAAATTTTTGGTTCTTTGGTAGTCCATGGGATACTCAGTACTCTGCCAAGAACACAATTCCAATGATTAGAATCTGGTACTGGTCCAGCCATTTTAAAACAATCTTCAGCAAGAATTTACTTCTATGGTATGTTAATTATATAGCATTCTAGAATTTCCACTCTCTTTTTTATCACCTTTCTCAGGAATGAGAACAAAAATGGATCTCTTCCAGTTGGTTGGCTGGGTCTTCCTAATTTTCTGGCACAATTATGTCCAGGGATGCATCTGTTTGTTGGAATATATCATTTGGTATCCTATCAATTCCTGGGGTCTTATTTCTTGCCATTGCCTTAATTGCAGCTTGGATTTCTTCCTCATTACCATTGGCTCTTTATTTTATGCAACTTCCTGAAATATTTCAGTGTTGACCAATTCTTGTTGGTAGAGTAACTCTGTGTATTTCTTTCATCTTCTTTTTAAGCTTCCTGGATTATTCAAGGTTTTGCCAAAGAATCCTTCAGTATTGCAACTTGATGCTTGAATTTGTTTCTCAGTTTTTTCAGCTTGAGAAATGCCAAAGATGCTCTTCTCTTTTAGTTTTCTAATTTAAACTCTTCACATTTTATTATAACACTTTCTCTTCATTAGCTACCCTTTGAAATCTTCTGCTGGTCTCTGTTACTTCAGCATTCTTTCCCCTTCTTTAGCTTCTTTCTGTTCCAGTGAAAGTATCAGAGTCTCTTCTGACATTCATTTTAGTCATTTTTTTCTCTGTTTTTGTAATGCCCTTTTGCTTTCTTCATGGATGATGTTCTTAATGTCATTCACAATAGGTTCTATTCTGCAGTCATTAGTGTTCAATGGATCAAATATCTTCTTAAGAGTTTGTGGGGTTTTTTTAATCCAGGTGAGGTATATACAAAGTCATATTTTGGTTCTCATGGACTTCTTTTTATTTTCCTGACCTTTAACCTGAAATTTTCCATAAGTAGCTGATGATATATTCTACCTTCAGCCTCTAGCCTTGTTTTGACTGTTGATAGTGAGCTTCCCCCAACTATCAATCACAAAGGTCCACCTGCCAATCCAAATTGCTATAAACAAGAATCTCCTAGGTCCCAAACAACTATGAATCAAATATAAATACCTACCTTCTGGATCCCAACTGCTTTAAAGAGGAAGCTCCCAGCCTCTGACTGTTAATCACAAAGGCCTACCTACCAAGTCCTAATTGCTTTAAACAAGAAGCTCCCAGCCTCAAACTGACTATTAATCAAACCACACATGCTGGGCATGTTGCTAAAAGAGGCTATTCCTTGGATGCTGTCTCTCTATCCTTCCAAGCATGATGTTCAACTCCAAGGACTGGTCTCTCCTGGTCACATGCCCAAAGTATGTGAGACAGAGTTTCAAAATCCTTGCCTCCAGGAAGCAGCTTGGTTAGTCACCATTTAAGATTTTTAAAAGAAGTGCAATTTTAATAAACCCTTTGTTGTTCAAAATTCTATCATGCCATCACCAGCCTTATTTCAACTAGTAGTCTTTCATTTTTTCCAACTTTTGCATTCCAGTTATCCATTATCATTGTTCTATCTTGGTTGCATGTTCAATCAATTTCAAATTGCAAAAGTTTGCAGGAATCCTCAATTTCTTCATCTTTGGCTTTAGTGGTTAACGAATACATTTGAATAATAGTATATTACCAGGTTTTTCTTGTAGGCATATGGATAGTATCTTGTCACACTCAGCATTGTATTTCAAGATACATCTTTACATACTCTTTTGACAATGAATACCATTTCTCTTCAATTTGTAATCCCCAGCATAGAAGATCAAATGATTGTATGATTACAAGATTCAAAATGGCCTATACCCTTCCACCTCAAGTGGCATCTCACTGATGACTAGGATATTGATATGTATGCATTTCATTTTCTTTTTAACAACTTCTCATTTTCCTAGATTCTTACTTCACTAATTTCATGTTCCAATTACTGATGGATGTTCGCAGCTGTTTCTCTTCATTTTTTGTTTTCCCACATGAGCAGATGAAGGTCCTTCATTGGATGAAAGCTTCACTCCATCTACATCATTATGGTAGAATCTACTTTGAGGACTTCTGGCAGTTCTCTGCTGATGTACTGTTCCAGTCATTTTTGGATAATCTTCAGTAGAATCTTGCTTGCATGTGAAATCAAGGCTATTGTTCTGTAGTTTCCACACTCAGTTAGGTCACCCTTCTTTGGAATGGGAACAAATATAGATCTCTTCCAGTCCGTTGGCCAAGTGGTTGTTCTCCAGATTTCTTGGCACAGCTTGGTGAGCACATCCAGGTTTAGAAGGGGTAGTGGTACTAGGGACATTGTAGCCAATGTTAGATGGATCTTAGCTGAAAGCAGAGAATACCAGAAGAATGTCTATCTGTGTTTCATTGATTATGCAAAGGCATTTGACTGCGTGGATCATAACAAACTGTGGCTGACTCTGAGAAGAATGGGAATCCCAGAACATTTAATCGTGCGAATGCGAAACCTATACTTGGACCAAGGGGCAGTCATCAGAACAGAGCAGGGCAACACTGAATGGTTCAAAATTGGGAAGGGTGTACGTCAGGGATGTGTCCTATCTCCATACCTTTTCAACCTGTATGCAGAGCAGATTATCCGAGAGGCTGGGCTCTATGAGGAGAAGCATAGCATTAGGATTGGTGGAAGATCTATCAATAATCTGCGTTATGCATATGACACAACCTTGCTCGCTGAAACTGAGGAGGACCTCATGCACTTACTGCAGAGGGTCAAGGACTGCAGCCTTCAGTATGGACTGAAACTCAATATCCAGAAGACAAAGATTCTCACCACTAGACCAATTGGTAGCATCAGGATGGATGGCGAAGAGATTGAGATTGTCCACAGCTTCAGTTTGCTCGGCTCCACAGTCAACACTCTTGGCACCAGTAGTCAGGAAATCAAAAAACATATTGCAATGGGAAAGTTTGCTGTTAGGGACCTCTCTAAAGTACTCAAGAGCAACGGTGTCTCTTTGGAGATGAAGGTGCGCCTGAAACAGGCCATGGTCTTTGCAATCACTTGTTATGCATCAGAGAGTTGGACAATGACTAGGGAGGACAGAAGGAGAATTGAAGCCTTTGAGCTGTGGTGCTGGAGAAGAGTATTGAATGTACCATGGACTGCCAAGAAAACAAAAATATTCATTCTAGAGAGGGTTAAACCAGGCTACTCCTTGGAGACAAAGATTCTGGGGCTTCATCTGACATACTTTGGACATGTTGCAAGGAGAGACAGGTCTTTGGAGAGGGACATCATGCTGGGTAGAGTAGAGGGACAGCGCAAGAGGGGAAGACCCTCTATGAGGTGGATCGATTCAGTGACGGGTAATCGGGATGGGTGTGTCAGAGGCAATGCGATTGGCACAGGATAGAGCAGGGTTTACGGCTGTTGTACATAGGGTCGCTATGAATCGCAAACGGCTCGACTGCACATAACAACAATAACAACAACTACTTTGAGGGGGCAGCTCTCACATGATGCATTTGGAGTACCTTCCCACCAGAGGGTTCATTGTGCAGCATTATATCCAGAATTTTCTCACATTACCCATAGGGCTTTTGAAGGTGAGTTATTTCAGAAGTGGATGGCTTCTAATTCCTCAGAAACAACTTGGACTTTTTAAAAATGTTTACAACATAACAATTAGTGTGCATGTATTCCAAGTAGTACTTATATAGGGAAAATAGTATGTATTATCCTTTATATAATACATATTAGTAGAAGTCAGCTAGATTATAATAAAAGACATTTCAGGCTTTTTTCAATAGTGTATCAAATTTGCCTTTTCCAGTAGTTTTAGAAGAAAATATAACTAAAGAGAAAAAGAAGGGATTACTTCAGGCCTCCAAGAACTGTTTTTCTAAGCCTTCTAAATGCAGTCAAATAATAAAGTGGAATATTAGTGAAAAAGTGTTTAAATTGAATGATAAGGTTTTCAGAAACAAAATCAGTAAACTGAAATAATCTATATAGACTGTTACAGAATTTCTCTAGCTCATTTTTCAATATTAAATAGTTCCATTTAAACTCTGTTATAAATGAATTCAGATATAAATCAAATACTCTTTATCTTAATTATTTCACATCAAAAGTTGTATGTCATATTTGTTATCTTCCATTGTTCATCTTTCTTTCTTTTATTGCTGTGGATTTAGAATCAACTCCTAGCTGACTTTCCACTGGATTCCCAAGACTGTAAATTGCACAAGAAGAGATTGTCCATCTTTCTCCCAAGGAGTCGGTTAGAAGCACACCCACCTACAGACTACATCACTGTTTGAGGAATGTAAAACAGTATAAATACCATGGAAAACTGGCAGTTTCTCAAAAAGTTGACCATAGAACAACCCAGTACTCAGAAGCAGTGCAAACATGAACACAGAAAGAGTCCAGTACACCAACGTCTGCAGCAGCACTTTGCACAAGAACAAAAAAGGCAGAAGTAACTGAAGTGCCGTGAATAAATGACCAAAATGTGGTGTAAACCTATAATGGAGTATTTCTCAGAAGAAAAATTACTTTCTCATATAGGCTACTATATGGATAAAATTGAAAACAATATATTGAGTAAAATAAGTATTAAAGGGATAAATCTTTTATTATTTCACCTATATGAAATAAGCAGATATGTTATTGTTGTTACCTGCTGTCAAGTTGCTTGTGACTTATGGTGACACTATGTACAACAGTACTGAACCCTGCTCTATCCCGAGCCAATCTTATTGTCTCTGACATACCCACTCCCATTAACCTAGTCAGTGAGTCAATTCATCTCATTGAGGAACTTTCTCTTTTACACTGTCCCTACACCCTAAGCATAATGTCCCTCTCCAAGGACCAGTCCCTCCTTGCAACATGTCCAAAGTATGTCAGACGAATCTTTTCCTCCAAGGAGCAGCCTGGTTTCACCCTCTTTGAGATAAATCTGTTTGTTCGTCAAGAAACTAAAAATGTTCAGTGGTTCCATGGGATGAGAAAAAGAAAGAAAGGGAGAGTTACTGTTCAGAGAGGCATAGAGTTTACATTAATGGTGGTAAAATTATTTGGAAAAGGATCTGGAAAATGGTTGCACAACTTAAAAACTGCAGTTATATTGAATTATTCATGTTAGATTTGTGTGTGGTTTGTTTTAATTCTTTTTATGTCTGTATCTCTATCTATCTCTATTTATCTATATATATAATTTTCTCTGGTGACATAGTGGGTAAGGTGGAGTATGAAGGAATAGGCAATGTGCAATGAATGGAGACTTGATGAGGCCAGGGAATAAGAGTCATAGATCAAAAGTAATCAGTGATATAAACACTATGTACAGAAATGATTGTATAAAACAAATTGTATATGCACCAAGCAATGTATATGTGTAACTGCAGAAAACACCATGTAAATGAAAGAATCATAATGTATATGAATTATTTCATACAAACCATTACACAAGTATTTTTTCACTGCTCTGAGGATAATACTGCCACAAAATATTCAATGATGATGATAATAAGCACTCTACCTTTGAGGTCTTCCACTGTCTCCTGTACTGGCAGCTCCTAAACAAACGAAAGAGCACAGTCAGTGACTCAGCTCCATGCAGTTTCTAGTCAGGCCACAGAGACCTGCTTTCCCAAGATGCTTGAAAGGAAGAGACAGCAGAGAGCCCCTTTCCTTCAGCCTCTAATAAATAGGAAAACAATATGCATACTTTAAATGTAGACATCCAACCAAGAGCTCTGTATTGGGATTAAGAAGAGCTGATAATAAAAAGAAGGAAAACAGAGTAAGGTGCTACTCTTAGTAGAACAAACAAATCCTTCTCTGGTAGCTTATGGGTATGGAGTTGGACTGCAAACACAAAGATAGGTGGTTCAAATCCACCAGTGGCTCCACATGAGTAAGATGGACAGTCTCCTTCTGTATTATTTGCAGCCTCTGAAAACCTGCTGGAGAGTCAGCTATAAGTCAGTTCCACAAAAACAAGACGTCAATACAAAACGATTTTGGAAAAAAAGAATGCTTTTAAAGCTGTGGTTTCTGTGTGGACAGGTAGGCTGAGTCCAGGTGGAAGGCACTGCACACGTGCTGGCTGAGATGCACAGCAGAGCAGAGGCAGGAGAGGAGGGTGGGGTCCAGAAAACAGTGTGCAGACCAGCCTAGAAGGTACCCAGAATGTGACAGAGGGCAAAGGAGGCTGGGGAAAGCTCAGAGCCCGGCTGGGTGTGCATCAGTGGAGCCAAGTAGTCATCTCAGGCCACTTCCACGCTCTGAAGATGGAATACTCAAACCGAGCAAGGCCGGCACTTATGGATATACAGCTAATGTGCTTGCAAAGCACAGGCGCTGCATTGCACACATTCCGCTCACAGCGGAATCAGACACAGCAGCAAAACGAGAGAGGAGACAGCACTAACCAGCATCCCTGAAGAGTGGTGGGAGTTCATGCTTTGCCCTTGCGAGCTGCAGCGGAGGGGCGGTGTAGGGAGGGCTCGGCTGGCATCTTCCTTCTTGCTATTGTTAATCTGCCTGTTATTGCTAATCCAACATGAGAAACAGAAGTGTGTTATTAGAAAACAGAACCATGGCTCCTTCAACATTAGTCTAGAGCCAAATTTTCCCCAGAGTGCATTTTGTCATATTCATTGTCTACAAATCTTATTTGTTAAAAGACACAAGTATTAGTCCTCTGATGGCCTAGTGGTGAGAAACTGCACTGCAATCCCAAAGGCTCCCTGTTCAAATCCACCAGCTGCTCCATAGGAGAAGGTTGGGCGATCTCCTCCTGTGCTATTTATTATCTCTGAGAACCCTCTGGAGGGTCAGCTATGGGTCAGTTCTGATTAGATTCACACAGCAACAACAAATACTGTAAAAGCACTATTGTAAAATCATAAGGCACAATCTTTTAAGAAATAAAGGCAAGAATAACAATAAAGATGTTTATTGGGTAAGTACTTTAACATTTTATTTCTTTCATAAAAACAAACATGACATGTCATTACCAAAAACTTTTTCCCAGTCTGTGGCTTCCCTTTTTACCCTGTTAGAGAAGTTTCTGGATGCGCATAGGGATTTGATTCTTAGAAGGTCGCATTCATCTATTTTATCTTCTCCTGGTTGTAAATTTGTCAGAATACTGGGAAGACTCTTTATGTTGTGGATTAGGAC